ATAATGAATCAAATTATAAAATAAAAATTATTAAATAAATAAAAATTTTTATTATTTAACTAATTACCTGTTAGTTTAAGTGAAAGAAATTCAGTTCTCTTTAATCAAAATTTTAAATTTGAGTCTTATAAATGAAAAAACTGATGATGGGAGAACTTCTCTTTTATTGATTTAACACGATTTGATTTTAAATTAATTAAAATTAATGTGATTATCGGAAATTGAGAAATTAATACAAAAAATAAAAACTTATTATCTAGAGGTTGCTTTTAATTTAAATATTCAAATTTTGTAATTTAATATAATTTAAATTATTAAATAGTTTTTTATTTATAAAATGATATATTATTTAGATTGAAATGTCTCCAGACTACAAAATAAGTTTTTGTTTATGAAATGTCTCCAGACTACAAAATAAGTTTTTGTTTATGAAATGTCTCCAGACTACAAAATAAGTTTTTGTTTATGAAATGGTGTACCATCTAGATTGAGATGTGTACCCATCAATGAAAGGGACAATCGAAATATTTCAGCTACCTTACTTATTAAGGATTTCTTCATATGAGGTCCTACCTTATCCGAGGTGACGGAGGAATCATGGAATATGCGCCTATTTGGGAGAGGATTTTTTTTTTTCCCCTTTGCAAGCAACTTTTTTCAATCCAGGTCCTACCTTATCCAAGGTGACGGAGGAATCATGGAATATGCGCCTATTTGGGAGAGGATTTTTTTTTTTTTTTTCCCTTCGCAAGCAACTTTTTCAATCCAGGTTTAAAAATTGGCAGGAATGAAATGTCATTCTTTCAGCATTTAAATTTAAGGGAAAAGTACTGACGGGTCTGTTAGTTTGAGCGAAAAAAATTTATTTATTTTTAAGTAAGGTTTTAAGTATGTTTTAAATTCATATTTTTTAAATAAAAAAATAGGTATCAAAAAGAACTTCTTCTTTATTAAGTCCAAGGTTAGTACAAAAAAGAAAAAGTTTAGGAGAAAAGTGACTTATTAGTCTAGCCTTCTATAAAAAAATTAGTGCTAACTTAAAAAGTATTATTTTTAATAAATATTTTAAAAAATTAATTATTAAATTTAATATTTTATTGATATAAATCATGTATAT